TTTTAAATTATCAAAAACACAACTGTAATAATAAAAAGATAACTGTGGATGTTTATTTCTACAACAAAATTGTATCCCTGGAAAAAATCCCTTTTACAGCATAATATTCCTGATATTGTCACTAATACACCAGAAGGCTTAAATAAAACTTCAGTTTTAATCATAAATAAAATCTTATTTACTTCCCACATAAACTGAAGCAGAAGAGAACCAGACGGAGATGTGACTCACCTGTTGCTGTGACTCTTCACTGTGACTCTCTGAGATGACGAGGTGCAATTTAAAGACCCCTGGACAGGAAGAAGGTCACATGACCCACAGGTTTGGTATGGAATGGCACCCGCTGTGCATGTGCATCATCCCGCGACCTTGCAGAGATACATCAAATGGAGCATGATGGAAGCTCTAAGGCTAATTTAAACTATACGTGAGACTGTATAGCAGGGGGTTGGGGCATCTATTAGTATGGTGATTATGTCGTAAAGGTCACTTCTGTCTATTTTCATCTATATACGACAAAAACAAATGAAGAATATATCAAAAACTGGACAGACGGTTGAGTGTCTAATGGAAAACACAATATTCTTCTTTGTGGAAACTATTTATTTGATCTTTTTCTTTATTTTCTAGCACAAAATCAGAGCAAATATCACCTCAGGGTACTTAGTCTTGTAAGATAGAAAGACTGGCAGCGTGCTGTTTTACAGAGGGAAACCCAGATACTGCCTGGGTAAAGGTAAAAACTCCCTTTTAATAAGAAGAAATCTTTAATAAAACCAGTTGTGGGGAATATGAAAAAGACAAGGAGACAACAGAAAGGCAAAACAAACAAAAAAGCAGAGGTTAGTAACCGCGGATACGACAGATGAGCCCTGGAGCCAGAGATATCTGCAGCAAGGAAAAGGAAGAGCGAGGTCAGAGAGAGCAACACATGAACACAGAATCACTGTTACTGAAACACAGTAATCCTGCAGAAGCAGCAGCAGATGTGACACTTCACGTCTGCAGAACCAGTTTTAGAAGCGTGTGTTCAGGAAACCTTCTTCTCCCACTTGGAGTAGATTTGTGCCCCACCTCGACTCTGAGAAGACCTAAGGTCCTCAGCGTTGGGCAGATGACCCAGTACGAATCTCCCTGCTCAAACTCTTCCCTGGTGTGATTGTTTTGTCGTTATTTTTGAGCTTTTTGGTACCTTTGTTTGCAGAATAGATGACAGAGGAGGATGTAAAGGCAGGCTATGTTCTTGTCCAGCCTGAAATGTTTTCACATAGTGGTTTAACTGAATTTGGTCTTCTTTTTTCTTACCAGCCCAGAGTGGTAAATGAACTGATCTA